TGTATGGCATTGGAAATTTTACATTGCCTAAATTCACTGTAGCATCTCCGATGTCCCTAGACTCCCTACAAAAAACATATTCAGGAAATGGATGTCTCTTCATCCGACAGTAATGCTAAAGTACCACTAGAGTTTCTCTTACATTTTAGACCCAATCATTTATTTACTTTATCTTAATATTTTATACAGACTGCGGTTACCCAGCTTCCGGCACTAAAACAGATCCCTCCTCTAATTAAAAAAAACCTCTTCTCTCTTTCCCTCCCTCCCACACCTGCTTTGTCAGCTCCCTTCTCTTTAGAGCCCAAACCTGCCATTTCTCTAAATGAGGAGACCAGGGAAGGGCAGGGAGAAACAAGAGAAGGGGAGGAACCAGACACGAACCAGAGGATCAGAAAAACTGCACACCTGCAGAAGTGTGCAATTCTAAAACTGCTGACCTTTTTCGTTTGTTTGTTTGTTTGCGTTTTTCCCTCACTCTCTTTATTCTCTCTGCCCTCCGGTAAACAATTAAATGTGGATCAGGAGCGAAGGCTCACGTTCCCCTCTCAATCAGCCCTTCCCGTCTGCTGACGTGGGGGTTTGGGCCCCCCTGTTCCCCCAGGTGCCCCCCGTTGGGTTAGCTATACCACAACTCCTAAAATAGCCTTTGATCTGAACTGACTGTGTGCAGTGCTGCCTGGTAAACAAAGCTTTGTGATGAAGTGAGTGCTGTAGTGTTAATCTGGTCCAAGTTGATCAAAGCATTTTTATGCTTTGATATGTTGAGCATAATGATAATGCAGGGCAATGAACCAATCAGAACACATAGAAATAGTCATTTTGAATGAGCCATCTGCAGTGGCAAGCTGTCTGTCTCTTTTAGGTAAGTTTCAATGCCAAATGCTAGCTATGACATATGAATCAGCTCAAAATAATTTACCAAATGCTTCAGTTATTCCCACGGGGGGCCAGTATAAAAAATATATATAATTAAAAAATAAAATAAAATGTTTGCACTCACTAACTGTAAGTCGCTCTGGATAAGAGCGTCTGCTAAATGACTAAAAATGTAAACAAAATGTAAATATGTTGGCCCCTTGGGATTTGATCAGTCATCTTGGTCATTGTTTATAACTGGAACTGGAATGGTTCATTTTAATATGCCTTGGTTTAGGTAAAGATCTGTCGTTCTGCCATGAGCAAGGCAGTTAACCCACTGTTCCCCGGGCTCCAAAGATGTGGAAGTCAATTAAGGCAGCCCTCCACACCTCTCTGATTCAGAGGTTGGGTTAAATGCAGAAGACACATTTCAGTTGAATGCATTCAGTTGTACAACTGACTAGGTATCACCCTTTCCTTTTTCATCAGTTCCTACTAATGTTTGGTGGGTTATGGTTATAGATATTAATTCCACCTGTGTTTCTGCTGGAAACGGACTGGTCAAAGGGCAGTTCAGGCAAATGCCAGATGGGCAGATCCATCTTCAGCCCAGTGGGTCTGTCTGCATTGGGGTTGTTACACCAAATTATAATGATTTGGCTAATAATGTGGGCCTCAAGGAAGAAAATGGGCTGGTTTGGGGGCCATGAGGAAAAGAATGGTCCAGGGCTGATTTCTGGTCCCATTCTGTCCCTGGTTCCAGCTCTTTGTTTTGTTTTGCTGCTCTGCTTACCATTCAAAATGAGAAATATCTGAAGAGTGGATTTGTACATCATAGAGCTGTTTTGCTTCCCTGGCCTTTTCTCATTTGCATTGCACACAATTCTCCTCTTTCACACAGAGGGAGTGTTTTCTTGCCTGGAATGCTAAGTAATGCTGCGTTCCACAGTTTGAGTTTCACCCAACTTCCTCTTCCTTCATCATCCTAACCTCCTGTTTCACCCCTGCTCTCTAACACCCCAGTGCAGCGAGGCTGGGCCTTGTTCCAATCACTCCACGTCCTTTTCTCACTATTACACACACAGCAAATTATTAGCCTACCTCTAGTGGTTTATTACCCTCCTCCCGTTGTGCTCCCTGGCTCCAAATAGATTTTTGATCTGTGTTCATCAATTATCGGATGAGCGGCTTGTCCCCCCAACTGTACACAGCCCGTCCATGGCGTCCACCCGCGTTTTTCAAGCACTAGATCAGTAGACCAGAATTGCAGTGGATTAGCTGTCTCTCTCAGAGCATGAGAGTTGAGTGCTGTCAAGTTCATTTAGAGGTGGGGAAAATTGGCCTTTCAAATGCAAGTGATTTTCATGACGTTTTTCTTGCCTTTGACAATGTCCTATTGATTGGCACAAATGACAGTCAAAAAGCAAACCCTTATGTTGGTCAAAAAGCAAACATTTTTTAACTAATTATGCTGTTCACCATCAGGAAATTACAGAAGTCCAGAGAGGACAAATGAATAAATAAATAATTACCTCGTTATCTCGAGATCACGACTTATCTCATGATCACGACATAACAAAAGTTGTTTTGTCGAGATCACGAGATTAACTCTATAGATAGGAGTAGACATATTGATGATAAATTGACAGGAGTGTCATAGTTGACCAGTTGCAGCAAGACTCTACAAAGATCTATTAGAGCATATGTGTTGTAAGTAGTGATGTGCTACTGTATAGGGCCTTCTTATCAAAGCTCCAGCAATAAAAGGCAAACAATGGCAAACTGAGGAATTACAAATCCAAACAAATTGCATGTGTTACATTATGTGTCTAGTCAATGAGATGATTTTTATAACTGGATGAATTGCGGAGCTGTCCTTCAGCACCACACCATTTTGCCCACCATTTTGGTCTGAAATGACAAATAGACTGTAACCTACATGATGTGTTGGAGTATTTAGAAACCACAACAAGGGATTCACATCACCTGTTCCACTATTTTTATGTACTAGTTGTTAATTGTTGTATGTGACTGTGTTTTTGCTGCTATTGACAGGACAACCTCCCTGTTAAAACTATTAAAGAGATTAAAATAAACTTTTATTGGTAGTCTGGTGAACTTTGGTAAACTTTCATTGGTAGTCTGCAACCACAGACCTCAATGAGAACTTTTCTTGCACTGAACGTTCCACATTCAATCCGTTTAGAAATAGAAGTGCAACCACACTTTTATGTCTTTAAAATTGGATTTGAGCCAAAACTGGAAGCCATCTATAGCTGAGAGACATAATGCAATTTTTGCCTGGGTTAATCCCTGATCAAAATGAAAACGGATGCACTGATGGCTGTTGGCTCTGCCACCTCAGCCATACCGTCACTCTAACATCAATATGTCCACTCCTATTTATAGAGTTTCTCGTGATCACAACAAAACAACTTTTGTTATGTCGTGAACACGAGAAAATTATCTTGTGACCTCGACAAAATGAGGGAATAATTGTTTTAATTTATTTGCCCTTTCTGGACCGTAGGAAATAGCCTTAAAGAGCTTTTCCATTGTTATTGCTTCCACAGCAACAAGGGAATCATGCAGCCATGGCATGACATATCAATAGGCTGGAGTAAGCAACAGGGGAATCACCTTTAGACTCCCCTGTTGCAGTAAAAAGGAAATATGATAATTGCAGTAAGACCTCCAAGCCCATTTTCTGAGTGAATCACCACATATTGTTTTGAATTCTTCAACAGATTGGTTTTAACCAGACACCAATTAAATACCTTGAGCTAATGAGGCTAACGAGCAAAATTGTGTCAATCTTTTTTAAGTAAATACACACAAGTCAATTCATACACTATGCATTTTATTACATCTTTAAATCTTCTATACAAATCTAAAGATTTGTAAAGTAAGCAAGAACATAGTTTCCCATAGCACAAGACCTAAACAGATTCACAAAATATAAACAGAGTACTGTATGGATTTGATATGGTAAACAAAATGTATCCCCACAAAAAGGGTGAGGCAAAATTGTTATTGTACAAGCATGACAAGACACAAAGGCATTGAATATAAACTGATACACAACTGCAGTTAAAGTCTTGCTGACGTTGGTGTTTCATTAAGTTTAGTATTATTTCATTCACATCCTGAGAGGGAGGGATAGCCCTCCTTCCGCCGCCTACTTAGCCCTAGTACTGAACACCACTAAACACCAACCCTTACCTAACACCTGCCAACTCTGTTAATCAACAACAGAAAAGATGTGACATTACAAACCAGAAAGGATGAGAGAGGAAATTAGAGAAAGAAAGAGTGTAGTTTGGTCCTCGCCCACACAATGGCACAATTCCTCCATCCTATTGATTTCAGCCACGTACTGTAACAGTCAGTTCTAGTGCAAAGTCATCCGGACTCCTGTAATCCTGAATCTTGACTCAATGTAATTGTGACTCCTCTCCTGTCCCTTCAGCTCTACTGCTGCAGTCTACAAGCGGCCATTACCTCACTGCTGACATAATAATAATCATAATAATATGCCATTTAGCAGACGCTTTTATCCAAAGCGACTTACAGTCATGTGCGCATACATTTTTACGTATGGGTGGTCCCGGGGATCGAACCCACTACCCTGGCGTTACAAGCGCCATGCTCTACCAATTGAGCTACAGAGGACATAATTCAGATGACTAGTTAGACAGAGGGAGGAATTTAGTTTTGCTTGCGTCGCGACGTGGACTGGCTGATGAAAGAGAGGAGCAGTCCCACATAAAGATTCTGTTCAATGATGATAGTAGGCAGCATTGAAATAGAAGAGAGAATGGACAGATCCTTATGCACTATTTACAATCAGGCTTCTACATCCTTAACTTCAAGTGGAATAACACAATCATATCATACAATTTAAGAGCTAGGACAAAATGCTCCTGATGGAATTTGGTCACACGGTTGTTGAATCTGTTTTGCCCCCACCCCTTTCAAATGGACCCACACTAGCTGAGTTTGTACTGTAGAAAGAGAGCTCTGTTTCAGCGAATCACAGAGTCACATAGAGTCAGCAGGAAGAGCTGCAATATGAGCCCGGCATGTGGTTACTGTTCCAGAGGTGGAGGGGTTTGGGGGTACACGGTGACCCCAGACCCTCACCCCGTGGTCAGGTCTGAGTCGGGGGGTTCCAGGCTCTCAGCGATGTCCTCTAACTCGTCCAGCAGCTCTGGGAAGGAGGGTCTCCGAAACGCATCCATCTGAACGACAGGACAAGAGGACAACAAGTGTGAGCTTCTACAGTAGATCGCACATGCAAGTCTTTCTCACAATCAGATTACTGAGGCAAATTCTATTACCTGGATTCTATTACCATGTTCAAATGCTGTCAAAGTGCATTCCAGCGCTACGCACTGAAATACAGACAATGCATCTTTTAAATGGAATTATCCCGACGTTCACGGAGATCGCATTCATGATAAACACTGCGGATGTTGGCTCAAACTTAAATGACCTTTAAAAGGCACACCTAAATAAAAGCAATATGTTGGTCGGTCATACAACACGTTTGAAATGAATCCTAAGTCTCTCAATTTCGAACACGTGCTGTCACATTCACTCTCTAATATTGTCTGACACTCTCTCTCTCTCTCTCACTCCCTGTTTCTCCCCCACACTCCATCCCTCCAGTCCACACTGACCAGACAGCAGTTGGCTGACAGCTCCAGGATGCGTCGTGGACAACCCTGCACCATCTCACTGAAAGCCTCCACGTCTAGACCATAGTCCTGTAGAGAGAACAAACATTATGTCAAATGCATTGTACACTAGTTGTACAACCTGAGTGTGTATGGGGCCATAGATTATCACTAAGTAGTTACAGGTTAGAGAGCTAGATCAGAAAACCAATGTAAGTCATGGCAAACAAGGAACGTTATGAGACCACAACTATCGCTGTAGGCTACTGTTCACTCCACTTTTGATAACCGGCGACTACTGACGAATTTGCAGAACAAGTACTGTATGGATAGGATAGTGTGACTAACTGACCCTGCGGTCCTCCCACTTCCAATGACAAAATGAATTTAAGCACATTAAAGTCTCTCTCTGCTCCCGGTGTCTCTGACCTTGCCTTGATCCCCCCAGGGACGACAGACAGGGACAACAAATGACTCATTTCACCATAATCTACATACAAATGTCACTGTCACTAATGGCCTAGCAAAAGTGCTATCAAGTCACTAGACTGATAATTGGATAATCGTCAAATTCCGCAGCAGGATCATGTTCAATATAATGTCTGAACTGTGGGGAATTACATCTTATTAACTCATAGCTCAGAGTTGTGGTATAATTTCCCCATGTATAGTGACAGTCTAAATCTAGTAGTGTATGGTTCTTTGGTTTTGATAAGTGTGTGTGTGTGTGTGTGTGTGTGTGTGTGTGTGTGTGTGTATGCGCCTGCGCCTGCGTACGTGTGCCAGTGTATGCGTGTGTTTTGTGTTCACCCGTGTTCTGGGAAGGATCTCGGGATCTGCTGGGATCCGACCCAGAATCTCACACAGCATGATCCCAAAGGAGAAGACGTCCACCTGGAGAAAATCCATTATCTTGTTTACTCAAGTCTTAGTTCCATTATTACATTGTTATGAATTATTTTCATTAAATTAATATTAAATAGATTCAAATGGGCCCTGGTAAAAAGTACTGCACTAAACTGGGATGCAGAGAGTGTGTAGGCTACCAACCTTGCGGTCGTAAGGTTCCCCTCTGAGCATCTCAGGGGCCATCCAGAAGGCAGATCCCACCAAAGACATCTTCCTCTCGGGGTCATTGACCGGCAGCTCCACCATCACCTCTCTGGCCAGACCAAAGTCTGTCACCAACGCCTCCCTGCCCCGAGACGTCTCCCGGATCAGACAGTTCTGAACACACAACGTTCAGACAACGTTAGACAACAGTTTTGCACACGCACAACGTTCAGACAATGTTAGACAACAGTTCTGGACACACACACAACGTTCAGAATATTACTCCCAGGACTGGTCACTGCTACCAAATGTATTAAATATATTTAAATTGACTATAAAGTGGACATAAAAATGTATATTTAAAGATGTACTATGCAGACATTGCTCCGCCATTTCCTGGTTGCTAAAATTCGAGTCGTTTTCCTAATTTCAGTTTATGTGACAAAACAAGCAAATAGTGTAAATAATCATTCTAGCATCTAAACCGCTGTGAAATATATTTTCCATAACCAAAAATATTGTATTTTCAGCTGTTTGAAGCTGGTGTACAAAACCGAAAGTAAAAAAGACACAAAAACAGGAAGTATAGAAATCGCGCACAATGAACAGATCTACCGCTTCTTAGACTTGCTTTCAATGAGAATGACAGATCTATAACTGACATTTCTATGTGAATTTTGTCGGGTCAACCAAAAAGTTACATATTGCATCTTAAAATGTACAGTATATTCATAGAGCTGGTGTTCACTAGAAGCACAATCATTGAAGTCATACAGTCGTCACACTGCAGTGTAGCATGTTGACCATAAGAGGTCAGTGTGACACTTCTACAGCCACACGACACTGCAAAGGAAACCTCCTCCATTCTATCTGTCTCTTTGCATTTGAGCCTGGAGGTAGCAACATAATTCCATAGACAGTACATGCGTGTGTTTCTACATGATAAGAAACAACGTTTTATTCACTGTTGGAGCGCTGACAGGTATGACTTATCACTGTACTGGAGGTCAAACAACAACATTCTCAAATGGACAAAGACGCACAGGGACGGAGAATAATAGAATAACATTGGCTACAACTGTGAAAACACACTTCAGATTACTGAGCTGCCTATGGCTCCTGCATTAGGAAAAACAGTACCCATCTGAAACCAGCTGGTTTAGCAGGCTGCCTCATAATCCGGTCTGAAACGTCCCTTCACCAGCCATCTTCTCTGAAAAGTGAATTATTGAGATGTGACCTGTGGGCCGAGGTAGCCATTTTGTTGGCCCAATACTATTGATGACAAAGTGGAACAGTACATTTTGACCAATAGGTCCATGACAGTGATTTAGACAGTATCCGTATCTAGATCTATGGGTCAGTGGCTAGACAGAGATTATATGTATCTGTGTTATATAAAACAGAGTATATAGGGCGTTTCCTGACACACCATGGGCCACTAATGACAGAGCAATGGGGCAATGGGAGGATCACAACCAAACAGCCCATAATAATAATAATAATAATAATATGCCATTTAGCAGACGCTTTTATCCAAAGCGACTTACAGTCATGCGTGCATACATTTTTGTGTATGGGTAGCCCATCATTATCTCATCACTGATGTGGTTTACCACCAAAGAGAGGAGTTTGAACTGTGATGGACAGATAATGAGAAAGGGAGACGTGAGTGTGTGCATGCTTGTATATAAACAACCCCCTTGCATAACATTCACATAAAGGATCATCTAGGAGGTGAAATACCCTCAACCTCAGCACCTTCTTACTAGTACTATAGACTAGCGTCCTGTCCAGGGGGTATACTTGTACATCATGCTGCCTCACGCTACAGAAACAGGAGGCAGGCTCCTGCCCTTTGGGCTGTTTTGGCTCGGACAAGGCTTATTTACTTACTGTCTGGCTGTATCCCAAATGGTACTCTAGTCCCTACCTAATGCACTACTTTTGCACTACTTTATAGAGGGAATACTTGCCATTTGCGATGCAGCCTTTGAGAAAGGCTTATTCTTATTCTTTCACAAAGTTGTCCAGTGGAACTAAAACAGGTGATGTAGAACGCAAACCCTGCAGCTTAGCATTTGCGTTGTAGACAGTGAAACAATGAAAGGTTCAGTTCTGAGAAAGCTGGTAGGCATTAGGTTAGGTCCCTATTATGAGTGTTTGTGTATAGGGTAGATTGATTGGATATCTTAGGCGGCTTTACGGCTATGTGCTTGAGAAAATAGTCGGTTGACCCTAGTTGTCAGATTTATAGATCAAGAAATAATCAGAAACATATACTTTACTTGTCCTTGATCCCTTCAATCAACTTCCAACTCACATCTGATACACGGGAAAAAACTATGTCAAATGAACGTCATGTGCTTTTTTTTATTAAGAGCCAAGATTGCATTAGTAAGGTACTTTGCTCTGGCACCACTGGAGTTATCTGTCCAGACGTGATCCTAGCCCGACCGTGGTGTGTTTGTGTTTATGTATGTGTGTGTGTGTGTGTGTGTGTGTGTGTGTATACCTTGGAGTTGAGGTCTCTGTGGTAGATGTTCTTGTAGTGCAGGTAGGTCATGCCTCTGCTGATGTCACAGGCCAGGTCCACCTTCTCTCTCCAACACAGAGACACATCCTCCTGGGCCAAGAGGTCCTCCAGACAGCCCCCACTCACATACTGACAGCACAGAGAGAGAGTTTATCCGTATATAGAGATCCTATATCAACACTCACATACTGACAGCACAGAGAGAGAGTTTATCCGTGTATAGAGATCCTATATCAACACTCATACTGACAGCACAGAAAGAGGGATTATCAGTATATAGAGATCCTATATCAACACTCACATACTGACAGCACAGAGAGAGAGTTTATCCGTATATAGAGATCCTATATCAACACTCACATACTGACAGCACAGAGAGAGAGTTTATCCGTATATAGAGATCCTATATCAACACTCACATACTGACAGCACAGAGAGAGGCTGCATAAGTACCATAGATATCCCATATCCATGGGTTATACATATGCATGGCAATCTATTCCCTCCAACAACTGTGACTACTGCCAGGTGCACAAATACAGAAGAGGGAATGTCCCATAGAGATCCCTTATGTGTTTCTATGGGTTATGCCATATAGATCGGGTTTCTATGGGTTTTACACAAGCATACCAGTCTCTTCCCTTCCAACACTGCTACTATGGTGAGATGCATACATATACTGAGAGGAAAACATATCTGCTATCTGTGATTATCAACATGATCACAAATAAACTGACAATCTTACCTCCAGTATCGGATACAGCTTATCTTCCCGCACACAGATTCCAAGATACCTAGGAAGAATAAGCAATAGATAATAATAGTTAGCATTACTATCACGATGTTAGGCTTTTTTTTTGCAACAACTACACATCTTCCTCTAAAAACAAGCATTTGTCATATATGTTGGACATGGGACTGACCTGACAATGTTAGGGTGTGAGAGCTTCCGCAGTAGACTGATCTCGCGTACGATGCTGTCCTGGTCCACGTCGTTCTTATAGATCTTGACCACCATCACTTTTCTTGTGGTACAGTGTGACACCTAGACAACAGAGGGCGATATACTGTATTTACAGAGCTGTCCTTGCTCAGCTTTGATTGACAACAGTTGGACAATCTCACTATTCTGCATTTGTACAAGTTGTAAACGAGACTGGATCTCTATGAACTAGAGCGAACGAACAAAACAAACAATTCATTGTTTCTTGTATACCAACACAACAACGTGCTAAAACTAGAACGACTAAAGCAACGGCCTTAACTTCCTGAGGTGATTAAAGTTTACTGCATCCTATTGTCTCTCTGTGAGGCAAGACTGGTTCAGTGGTACACCATGTTCCCTCCACAGTAGCATTCTCTGTGTGCATCCAAAAAGGCACCCTATTCCCTATGTAGGGTACTACTTTTGACCAGAGCCTGGTCAAAAGTAGTGCACTACATAGGGAATAGGGTGTCATTTAGGATTCATCCTTTGACTGTTTGGCACAGGTTCTGGGAACCGTCACACTGGCTGACTGACTGCACACCTCTAATTACGCTCCTATCATGACCGGGCTTTATAACGCCATCTCTGATCTGTATCTGAGCATCTGGGAGTTCCAGCTCAACACAAACACGCTAACAATAGCAGGAAAGGCACGGTGGCCCTGCATGATGACCCTGCTACAATTGTGACCTGACATGGCCTCCAAGGAAAACGACTAGGACTGTTGAAGACGATGCCAGTGTTCAGTCATGATCATTTAAATGTTGTTCATTTGACTCTACAGACAGTCCCTCACACCTAGACAATATTAAGGTAACTTCAGCTGTGTTCCTTTGTCTCGTGGGCATATGAATGCAGAGAAGAACAGGTTTGCAGTGTAATTACTTGGGCATGTTGTGTCTGATGCTCTGAGGGGTGTTTAAGGGATCATCCAAGGCATCATGTTGTCAGTTTTGACACCGGAGTTGGTAGTACACAAAATGTAGGTTGCTCTTTGTATGGGACTGTATTGTATGTATGTATTCTGTCAAGTATGTTTTAATACACTTATCTGGATGCGTGCCATATAACGCATTATGCCACTTTTGAAATATGCTGATTTAATGAGGTAATTGTAACTGAAACAAACATGGAAATTAATGGGAAGTAAATCATAGACTTTAATTAGAGGGTGTGTAGAACGTCAGTTATTTTTTGCTCTCTCTTTCACGCACACATTGAAGTATCCACAAGCATACACATGTTTTTTCAGCCATTTCCAAATTGAACAGTTCATACCTTGTACACCTTGGAGAAGAAGCCACTCCCAATCAGCTCGGCACTGAAGTCTTCCCAGAATTCCAGCTTGCGGACGGCGGTGCGTAGCTTCTGCCATCGGTCCACCTGGCAGTAGGTGTCTGCTGCCTCTCCGAGCAGTGTGGGGCTGCTGGGTTCAGGGGTCACCTCCACCTCACACCTCATCCTAGACAGCTCGTCTGGTGAGGCACAGGGTCACAGGGTCAGACACTCAGTCTCCCTCACTATCCATATCCCAGTGTTAAAGCCATCAGAGGAACTAGAAGTATCACAATGCTCTCCTTCAACCCAATTTAGAAATCTTGGAGGCAAACACTCAAAACTAGTAAACATGAGAGAAAAAAGTTTCTGAAAAAGAAAATAGTTTTAATCTTTAAGTAAAATGGGGGCAATTTGAAAGATAAATATACTAATTTAAAATGCAAATGAAACAGATTCAGAGGAAAAGGAGAAATGTTTGGTGAGATGAAAGACATTCTGAGACTAAAACATAATTTGCACAGAAAATATACACTGTTCAAAAAAATAAAGGGAACACTTAAACAACACATCCTAGATCTGAATGAATTAAATAATCGTATTAAATACTTTTTTCTTTACATAGTTGAATGTGCTGACAACAAAATCACACAAAAATAATCAATGGAAATCAAATTTATCAACCCATGGAGGTCTGGATTTGGAGTCACCCTCAAAATTAAAGTGGAAAACCACACTACAGGCTGATCCAACTTTGATGTAATGTCCTTAAAACAAGTCAAAATGAGGCTCAGTAGTGTGTGTGGCCTCCACGTGCCTGTATAACCTCCCTACAACGCCTGGGCATGCTCCTGATGAGGTGGCGGATGGTCTCCTGAGGGATCTCCTCCCAGACCTGGACTAAAGCATCCGCCAACTCCTGGACAGTCTGTGATGCAACGTGGCGTTGGTGGATGGAGCGAGACATGATGTCCCAGATGTGCTCAATTGGATTCAGGTCTGGGGAACGGGCGGGCCAGTCTATTGCATCAATGCCTTCCTCTTGCAGGAACTGCTGACACACTCCAGCCTCATGTGGTCTAGCATTGTCTTGCATTAGGAGGAACCCAGGGCCAACCGCACCAGCATATAGTCTCACAAGGGGTCTGAGGATCTCATCTCGGTACCTAATGGCAGTCAGGCTACCTCTGGCGAGCACATGGAGGGCTGTGCGGCCCCCCAAAGAAATGCCACCCCACACCATGACTGACCCACCGCCAAACCGGTCATGCTGGAGGATGATGCAGGCAGCAGAACGTTCTCCACGGCGTCTCCAGACTCTGTCACGTCTGTCACATGTGCTCAGTGTGAACCTGCTTTCATCTGTGAAGAGCACAGGGCGCCAGTGGCGAATTTGCCAATCTTGGTGTTCTCTGGCAAATGCCAAACGTCCTGCACGGTGTTGGGCTGTAAGCACAACCCCCACCTGTGGACGTGGGGCCCTCATACCACCCTCATGGAGTCTGTTTCTGACCGTTTGAGCAGACACATGCACATTTGTGGCCTGCTGGAGGTCATTTTGCAGGGCTCTGGCAGTGCTCCTCCTGCTCCTCCTTGCACAAAGGCGGAGGTAGCGGTCCTGCTGCTGGGTTGTTGCCCTCCTACGGCCTCCTCCACGTCTCCTGATGTACTGGCCTGTCTCCTGGTAGCGCCTCCATGCTCTGGACACTACGCTGACAGACACAGCAAACCTTCTTGCCACAGCTCGCATTGATGTGCCATCCTGGATGAGCTGCACTACCTGAACCACTTGTGTGGGTTGTAGACTCCGTCTCATGCTACCACTAGAGTGAAAGCACCGCCAGCATTCAAAAGTGACCAAAACGTCAGCCAGGAAGCATAGGAACTGAGAAGTGGTCTGTGGTCACCACCTGCAGAACCATTCCTTTATTGGGGTGTCTTGCTAATTGCCTATAATTTCCACCTGTTGTCTATTCCATCTGCACAACAGCATGTGACATTTATTGTCAATCAGTGTTGCTTCCTAAGTGGACAGTTTGATTTCACAGAAGTGTGATTGACTTGGAGTTACATTGTGTTGTTTAAGTGTTCCCTTTATTTTTGTTTGAGCAGTGTATTTTGAATGCATTACAATTCATTCCAAATAACTTTGCAATTTCCATCAAAGTATATCAGTGATTTTTGACTTGTATCTTCAAGACTGATATAATTGGCAGTTAGATAACAAGACAACAAGGTGTGAATCAATATGGTACTTCTGTGAGAAATCACATTTCAAGGGTCATTTGTCAAAGATGGAGCCCCTACTATTGGCTGGCCTAACTGTCAGGTTTAACACCCAGTTGGAGACGCACAATCACAGTTTAGACTGATTATTCTTTGCTTTTGCGGTGTGTAACCTAAAACTACAAACACATACGTAAGTAGAGGTCTATGACACCATCACAACAGCATATGTCATTGGTGCTTTCAGCTTCAAGACAGAAAAACATGAGATTAGCCTAAGGCCTTGGCTACTGTGTCTAACACCTGCTCAAGGCCAAACAACCGCCTGTTTGTTGTCTCCTCACAGGGAGAGGTTTGTTCACACAGATTCAATCAGACAAGCAACTCATAGCTTCTGCAATGCTGCAGAGTTGAAAACAGTTGCGCTAAATATTTTCATCATGATGATCAGATATGATCAGGTATGAGTGACAATATTGTAGTAGGAAAGCATACATGGTGACATAGATATAATCAAATCAGTTTCATGTGTAGAACATTGTTTGTTATGGCAATGTCACTATCTAGGCCAGGGCAACCATCAACCAGGAAGAGGCCATGAGAAACTAGATTCTTAAGTGTTTACAAATCCCCTAGGGTCAGCGCACATGTAAACAAAAGTATTACTGGAATTTCTGTAATAAAAGCTTTCCATTCGCAAGATCAGGAACGTCTTTAATGAAAAGTCTTAAATCACAAGTGACAAGTGGCCATTTTTCTGAAAAATATGGCTGCAGTTATCTCTATTCAGTTTCCTGTGCAGTCTGGCAACATCTAATGATGTCACTTTGACATTGAGTGGATTGGGTGGGTAGTTCACCCCTGAAGCAGACATTTCAACCTTGATGTGACAGACTGACATCTAAGTTAAACATGACTTCCCAGAAGGACAGACCCCCTATGATGCAAAAGTCCCAACTGCCAAGTTTCCTAAAGTGAAGTGACAGATTTCTCCCTTCATCCCAAGGTCCCTTTTTATCCACAGCAAAAACAGAACACACTTTCTATTTTCTTCCGAGGGCTTTGAGAGGGACTTTTTTTGTTGTTGTTTTTTTCCTCACTACTTTCCAACATATCTGACATCAAAAAGGAGCCAGATATTGGTCGAGCCCCAGTTGGAATGTCACAGCTGGGTAAGAAAGTGGAATGACGATGGTATCTTTGCGGAAAGACGTTACGGAACATTTCCAGTTCGGGCAGCCGTGGCCGTGTGCCCTGAGTGGAGATGAGAAAGCCAGTGAACCCAGGGAACTCTGACCAGTGGCCAGGCTACACACAGGTCACCACTGGACGCTGCTGAGGGGAGGACGGCTCATAATAATGGCTGGAACGGAGCAAATGGAATGGCATCAAACACCTGGAAACCATGTGTTTGATACCATTCCACTAATTCCGCTCCAGCCATTACCACGAGCCCGTCCTCCCCAATTAAGGTGCCACCAACCCGTGCAGGTCACATACAGGCCCCTGTATCACACCTCCCTGCCATGTCTAAACACAGGCCACTGACCCCAATACAAGGCCTCTGAGACAGAGGCTTCACCTGAATGGTCAGAGAGTCTTACAAACAAAGTAAGGCCATAAAGAGTTCAGTACTCCAAGGAATGTCATAATCCACAATAATAGAGTCATGGCCCACTGGGCCCACACTGGTTGTATCAATGTTGTTTCAATGTAATATGTCAGTGTATTGTGACGTGGAATCAACGTGGACAATACATTGGATTTGTCTAATCAAATATAACATTCAACATCATTTCAGCCATCCAATATACTGAATATAGGATGAAAAAGACTTGTAAAATTTCCAAATGGAATTTTCTACACAATTTCAATGTATACATACTTCTGATGATTATGATGAAATTAGATTGATGTAACAACCTGTTTGTCAGGTTCAGTCAATGTACACTGAACACAAATATAAAGTAAAGTAAATGTAAAGTGCTGGTCCCATGTTTCATGAGTCGAAATTAAAGATCCCAGAAATGTTCCATACGCACAGAAATATTATTTATCTCATCAAATTGTTTGCAGAAATGTGTTTAGATCTCTGTTGGTGAGCATTTCATCCTTTGTCAAGATAATTCATCCGCCTGACAGGTGTGGCATGTCAAGAAGCTGATTAAACAGCATGATCATTACACAGGTGCACCTTGTGCTGGGGACAATAAAAGGCCACTCTAAAATCGGCAGTTTTGTCACACAATACAATGCCACAGATGTCTCAAGTTTTGAGGGAGCGTGCAATTGGCATGCTGACTGCAGGAATGTCCACTAGAGGTGTTGCCAAATAATTGAATGTTCATTTCATTCCATAAGCCGCCTCCAACGTTGTTTTAGAGAATTTGGCAGTACGTGCAACCTGCCTCACAACCGCAGACCACGTGTAACCATGCCAGCCCAGGCCCTCCACATCCGGCTTCTTCACCTGCGGGATCATCAGAGGGGGGTGGGGGGGTGCTGAAGAGTATTTCTGTCTGTAATAATGCCCTTTTGTAGGGAATACTTTCTGAAGGCACTATATGTGTTGGGATGGATAGGGGTTTATGGATGTCATTTCCATTGAATTTGACAGTGTCTTTCCCCGACTGGGTCAAAACACCTCACTTAACCTGCATCATATTTGTGGCTCCTAGTAAACCATAATCACCTGTTGACTGGCCTTTGTTGACTTTCAATTAAGGATTCTACCTTTAAATCAACAAAACATTTGTGTACTTATGACTTGAGAAATGAGTCATGACTTGTTGAATGGATGAGAGAGAGATTGGGAAAGAGAGAGCACAAAGAGTCTGTGCATATTTGTGTGTGTGTGTGTGTGTGTGTGTGTGTGTGTGTGTGTGTGTTATGTACCACAAGCCCAATGTGTACAAGACAGATATTATTGAATCAAAAAGAGATGAACACGTCAGTGTGGA